GAGAGAGAGAGAGAGAGAGCGATTTGCTTCTCTTTGTCAAAAGTTCTAGCCTACTGGCTGGCTCTTCTATCTCAAATTCCCCTCTTTGTCGAATTACCCTTTTTTGAGCAGCTTGCTTGTGGTTTTCACTTTTCTAACCGCCTTTCGACTGGTTTACGCCGCTCTCCAAAATTGTCATCTTTGTCAAATTCTCTACTCTGTTCCGAGAGGTTTGGTACCGCTTCTCAGAGAAGCTAGTCCCATTTGGCAGGTCCTCGTTCTCAGTGTATCCTCTTAGTCCAATCGCTGGTCTTTTTCGGGCGGTGTGCTCCTGTTTCTCAACTTGTTTAATCCGGTTCGACAAGTTTTCCCGTCAAGTTCTGCAGTCTCTCTCCAGCGGGCTTGTTCCCATCTATTTCGACCGGTCTGCTCCGTTTCCTTTAGACGGGTTTGGTCCTGATTCTCAAAATTTCCACTTTGTCAAAGTTGTCCTCGTTGTCAAATGTTCGAAAAAACTTTCGCGCGGTTCTCCCCTCTCCCGGACTCTCTGGTTTCTTTCGTGCGGCTTGTTTCCCTTTCTCAGATTCTCAAGTCTCTTTCAAGCGGTTCGCGTGTGCTATATCCGATATCCAAAACGTCTTGTCTCTGTCCACTGGTTTGCTCCTCTTCGTCAGTTCTCTGATCCGTTTCGAGCCTTTTTGGCATGACAAGGGGAGACAAGTGTCGAAAACAGAGAACAGAGATGGAGAGATTTGAAAACACCGGCAGTGAAAACGAAAAGCAGTTCCCCATTGGCCACTAACCGACAGTAAGACTGCTTACAACAAACTGTTTTGGGAAGTAACAAGCAGTAGACTTGTTTCGGCAAAATCTCCTCTTCGATGCGCAGTTTGCGCATAGCAGGATCGAGCTTACAAAGCACCTGCACAAGAGCTGGCAAAGACAGCTCATCCCTCTCACCCTGCAGAAAGCGTGAGTACTAGCACATGCATCTGAGAACAAACTGTTGACTCTGTCCCTGTCGCATCGCGCCTTGACTTTCTTACCCTTCGGGTCGATGTGCATGAGACTGCGCCCTCAGAAGCACGGAGGGGTATCGAGGCTGCAAGTGGCACGCCGCGCAAGCCGCACCTGCAAAGCAAGAGGTGACGAAGCGGCGCGTTGACTCGGTGGTCATCTCCTGCGCCTGTACAGGCAGCTGCCATACAGTGGCTCTACAGCACCGTGCAGCATGTTGCCCGTTGGCTGATACACGGTCTTACCTTCGTCAACTCCTCCTCCTCCAAGTCGCGACCGAGTTTGATGAACTGGCGAGTGCTCAGGCAGAGACTGCAGTCAGTTCTTCGCACAGCTACAATGCGTAGCGCCGTGCGTATGCAATCCTACCCCAACGCATGTACAGGTGCCGTATGGTGCTGCGGCTGCAAATGGCATGTAGCGAGTTTTCCAGCGGACCGCTGAAGATTGGCGGCACGTTTAAACTGGTCTCTGCAGAGAACCGCTTCTGCAACGAGCTACACTGGTAGCAACTTTGTCTGCAACCCAGCCCACCTCGATGCGCTGTCGGAGTTGTTGCAAGTGGCTTTCAGGGACCTCATCCGGATCAATCCGAAAATCACGAACTAGAGTATAGAGTACGCTGAGTAGGATCAGAGGCCGACCCCGTGCTTCTTGCCGACTTCAATTTGCTCCTGGCGGCCGCAGCATGCCGGTACCATGGTGGCACGCGGTTAAAATTGGCAGTCGAGCAACTGCTTCACGCACTACCAGGCCATCGTGCTTCACGAGATGCCGCTTGCGCACGCTGCCTCGCACTTCGCTTCGTCGTCAGCATCTTCAGAGCCGAGGAACTTGGGAAGCTCCTGCCCGAGGGTGGACACTCCGGCCACTGGACTCCTTGTGCTTTCGGGGTTCGCCTTTAAACGCATGACTGGCAGGCACAACATGGCACAACTTCCGCCTCGATGAAGACTTCCCGCTCTCGCTGCACCTGCCAAGCTTCGTCATACCAGACGGAATTGAAGGATGAGAGGCGGCCATGCGATATGGGATGATACTGGTTCCAGCCAGGGAGGTGACAGGAGTTTCGGTCCTACCCCGGCCCTAAGGGAGATGCCGCCAGGAGAGTGCGTAATCCAAAGCCCGCAAAGCCGGTGGAAGTTTCAAAATGTCAGCCCTTCAAGACATGCCGCTGCTTCTGAAGCTTTAATGCGACCGCTGCTGCTGCTGCTGCTGCTGCTGCCGCTGCTGTTACCAGTACTACCACTGCGGCCGAAACGACTCGTTTGCCACCTCGTCTTGCGGCGAGCTTGTAATCTCGAAGAAGCCCAGAAAATGCGTACTTCATGAGGTTTACATGTTGCATTGGTGCACGCAGTTCTCTCGAAAGAAACTCTGCGGGTTTGTGGTGCCTGTTTGGGGTTGTATCATGAACTTGCCATGCTTTTGGAGTGCGTCGGTCTCAACGCGAGTTGCCAAATCAAATCCCAGAAAAAATGTCTCGTGTCAAAACACCAAGATCCGAAAAGGAGTCACTGATTGCGAAAATCCCTGAATCGCCACGCTGGTCAAAGGCGTGACTGGTTCCCAAAACCAGAGACCCAAAACGATTGACTGGTTCGGAAAACCCCCTCAAAGGAGTGAATGGTTGCGAAAACTTGAAAGCTTTCAGGGCGTCACTGGTTGCCGCCTGGTTGCGACGAATCCGAAAACCTAAATGGAATGAGTAGTTGTCCCAAAGGCCTCAAAACATCCCCAAAACTCTAGCAATGGAAGATGGCAAACCCACGCCCTGGGAGGAGGGACTTGCTGGAGTGGTTGCCGAAAAGCCGAAGACCTAACAGGAGTGACTGAGTTCCAAGAGCCCCGAAACCCGAAAATGATTGATTGGGTCCCGAAAGACTCGATAGTCCGTGGTACAAAAGACCTTAGGGTCCAGAGGGGGTCACCAGTTGCCACAACCCGAAACCTGAAGGAGAAAAGCCCCAAAAATTCTCATAAGGAAACAAACCTCTGGCAAACTCCAAGACTCTGAAAGGAGTGCGTGGCTGCAAAAATCCACAAAAACGTAGACAGGGATCAGGGGCTGCCGCAAACTCGAAGTTGCGGCAACCAAAATTCAGAAAGGGAGTGATCGGTTCCCAAACGCTTCACAATTAAATCTGATCCTGCAAAGTCGGTGGCAAACCCCAAACCCGGCGAAAAACCCAAAGCCCAAAAGGAGTGACTGCTTGCCCGAAACCCTCAAGCCCAACAGAGGTTCGCGAAGAACGCGACTGTGATGAAGACGGCCATGTGGCTGGAGCGCAGTGGGTGCGAGCAAACGGGTGGTTTTGCGCCCTCTCCTCCTTCTTCACCTCGCTCCTCCTCCTGCTGCTGCTGCTGCTGCTGCGAATAGCAATTATAAGAATAATGATACTAATACTACGACGACGACTGCCACCCACCTACCACCACCACCACCACCCCCGCCACCACCACCCCCGCCACCACCACCACCCCCGCCACCACCGCCACCACCAACACCACTACCCCTACCACACCTACTGCCGTTCCTGCGACGATAACTTTTCTCATCACGATTATCCTTTTTGCTCTCTCAAGCCTACATGTTCGCAAGTGTGGTCATGGTACACGGGGGCTTGTCATGTCTGAGCTGATCCACAGATATGCCGCCGTAGCTGCATGGGGTCACGGACCCCCAGTTGCCCGCCTTGTGCTGCTGTAGCTTCTTCTCTGCATGTGCGATCATGGTCTCGTCGATGCCCACCGAAGTCGCGTGTTCGATGGCCTTCCGGAAACACCATGCAAGAGTGCATTTCGATCTTGCAGTGGTGATACAGTCTAGTCACAGATCGTTGCGGCGGTAAGCTGCAAGAACATGAAGTCAATCAAAGGCAAAGCAACCACTGGACCGGCAGTCAAACACAGCCTTGTGACACAAAAGATACGACTACGACATGCGGAGCTCGAGATGACACTCCAGCTCTGTCCCCGAAGATCCATGACTCGGCCATCGCACCTCCTCAAAGGCAGCGGTTTTGCCGCGCATGAGGCCACCCTGCCAAGATATGAGATTTCTTACCATGCCAGCTGCGTTCCCCAGGCAACTTTTCTAACCGGGGGGCCTTTAACGCTTTCTCCGCATCTGCTTTCACCGACGCCTCCTCCTTAGTTGTGACGGTGCGTCGCGAAGAGAAGTCGCGTCACAAAAAAAAGAGCTTCTGTGTTCTCGCTGCCCTGTATATACGACCAACCCCTAGGCTGGTCCCGGCTGAGGAAGTTGCATCCTCTTCGTCCTCCTCCTCTTCAGCCTCCTCGTCCTCCAAGCGATGAGCCAACCAGCATCTCTGCGCATCTCCGCTCACCCGTGCCTTTTCATGCAACTTGTTCATGAAACCCTCCTCGCCTCTCCATCGTCTTCGTCCTCTTCTAGGAGGGCCTGGGACATGAGCTCCGAGCGGACCCAGCAACGGGCCCAGCAAGGCCTGAAAAGCCCGGGCCTCCGAAGGCTTCACCTGGGAAGGTGTGCCCGTCATCATCTCGCTGCATTTGGCCCCCATGGCTTCGAGCTCGGCGGCGCATCTCAGGCTCCTTTAAGCTAGAAAGCTCCTCGGGCGAAGCCTTCTTCGGAGTTGGCTCAGGGGGTGTAGGGTGGGGCTGGAAGTGAGTGCGCATGCCTTTATGGCAACCCACGCAACACCGGAAAAAGCTTGCTTGGTGGGACCAGCTCAGTGCAAGAATCTGGTCGAGGACACATCAAGATGTGCGACCATGTTTCGGTGTCGGAGTGCTCTCATCAAGGGTCTGCCTCCTTTACGTGCGAAGCGCGGGCCACAAAGAAACGATTGAGCCGGGGAGGACGCAGCCGTAGCCATCTCTGTCTTAGGAAATCACTGAGATCATCAAGTGAGCAAAGCCGCGAAATTGAACCAAGCTCCGTCACAGGTCCCGGAAACCGTCTACCGGCACAGCATTCACTGCAAACAGCTCAAAACGGGCAGGCTTGAGGGGCGCACCACAGTGCCGCCACAGAAGGTGCCTGACAGACTACTCAGCATCGAGAGCAGCCTAGACACGCTTTTGCATGACAGCCGCGCGAAAGTTCGCTCCTTTTCGTCACTGAGCGCTGCTCGAGTCCTCTTGGCCCTCCTGGTCCCTTCGCAGCCGCAGGACGTTGGGGAAGCCGAGCGACCGAATCTCATCTTCCCTGTGGGTGACGAGGATGATCGCCACATCCGAGCTTTGCGCGAGCCGCCTCGGAGGACTCAGGACCGTGACAGCCCCTGCAACCCTTCCTCCCCATTCGCTCTCAGTCCAAGATTTCATCGCAAGAGAGTTGCGTGTCCACTCAGCTGGCTTCAAGCTGTCGAGACAGGCGGCTGAAGAAGCGACAGGAACTTCGCGCGGTTGCTTCCGGACAGCCCATGGGTGGGCTCGTCGAGAAGGAGCAAGCGAGGTTCTTTCACCTCAGACGCATTCTCACAAGCAAGCGTAATAACCTAATCCCACCACTACCATGATCTCATGCATACTTCACAAGAGTTTGCTGCGTGTTCTTGTATCTGCAGGCCCAGTGACCATTGCTCGACAAAGCAGCACCAGTTTCTGCTGCCTTGGCTTTTTGTTGGGCTTCACGGTCCATGCATCGCATCGAATCCAATTGCGTCTTGCCGAAGCAAAGTCACCCGTGCGAAAGATCGAAGAACATAGGGCTTGATGAAAATGGCGCCAAGGCTGCCAGAGCCTTGTCGCAGCTTGGTGAGATCACCAACTCCTGCAAACCTCGGAGAGAGACTCGGAAAAGCTTGGTGATTTTCAAGGCGGGAACTACCTGAACCCCGGGCAACCGAGGTCTCAGCCGAGTTTGTCAATCCATTCGAGCACAGCCGTCCTTTGGACTGAGGTGGGCTCCACGTACAAGCCGATGCTGTCGAAGAGTCCAGAACAAACAACTTCCCAGGCAGTTACTTTGCGGTCAAATCGTGGATCTGAAAAAATCATGTACTCCATGTGGAGCTCACTGGAGATCACCCCAAGCTGCTTTTTGATCTCCCAGACACTCTCCCCACTTCCCTTTTGGCGGCCGAAGAGATGAATATCTTGCTGGTAGCCCTGCACATTCTCACCCGTGATGAGATCTACCAAAGTTGTCTTGCCCGTCCCATTCCCGCCGACCACAATCCATTTTTCAGACTGACGGACGGTCCAATTTAGCTTCTTGAAAACAAAGATCGGGCCATACCTGGTTGAGAAACTGAGAATACTCGCAACTGAACATGTGAAGCGAAGCAGACAGAAAGCAAAGCACTGGCTTGAAAAGAGGGCAGGGCGATATGCTGTTGCAAGTGGCTGGATCGTAACATTCCTGAATTCCACTAGCACTTCTCCGAGTTGTCCGCGCTCCTGCCAGCGAAATACTGCGCTGCTACACTACCTCATGCAATACGGGTGATTACGGGTGGCATCATCTGACTTCGTTTGGCCTCCTTCCTCACACAGCTACAGGGACATCCGGCCTCTGGAGTGGCTAGTCTGGAGGATGGCTGGCTGGAGCCTGATGCCAATGACGCCGCAGCTATCCTGTCCGCCTGGGCGGACCAAGCTCCACACTTACCAATGCCACTGCGAAGTCGCACCTGCAAGAACCTGGAAACGGGTTCCTTCATCTCGGCCCAACGGCCAGCACCTTGGGAGCTTCGGAGATCCCCAAGCTGCGACCATAAAACACCAGACCAATTGAAATCCGCGGCGCTGCAGGCCGTGCCTTTCGGGCCCTGCCCAAGAAGCAATGCGTGCGTCGGGACAGGAGTGAGATCTTCCACCCTGTGTGCAATCATCACCTGGCAGCAATTGGCGAATCGCTTCATCAGCGCCGTAAAGCCGTGGAAAATCCAATGCTTCCGGGTCATAAGGGTCTTGCTCTTGTCCTCAAAAACCGCCTCTAGAACGCGCTGCAGCTCGGCTCGGGAGTCTTTGTCCAAGCCATCGAACGCCTCGTCCAGGACCAGCAAACTGGACCTCTGGACCACCCATGCAGTCTGGCCCTCCCAAGAAGCACATCAATGCCTAATTAAGGAGGCAGCTGCTGCAGCAGCGCATCCACAAGCAGCAGCTTCCGCCCCTGCTCCCGCGGCCGCGTGATGTCTTGCGCTTCTGCCTCTGCTCGAGCTCTGGCCTCGCCGGTGGAAAGGGCGAAGAGCGGTCGGTGGCGCAGCTCAAAGAGGCCGAAGAGCTTCAACAGCCGAGCCGCCTCACCTGCTACCAGGTGCTACTACTACCAGTACACTCGCAACCAACAAAGGGGGGAGGATTGTGTTCTCGTGGCCGGCCCGGGCCTCTGGTCGATGCCGCCTCGAGCTCACCCAGCAAGGGGTGAGAACTGCTCGCATCGTATGGCGCCGGGAGTGGGGACACGCGCGTCCGCGGGGGTCGATAGCCTCGGCATCCAGATAGCCCCGCTTTCTTCAAGCTCTCAAGGCATCCGAGGCGCCCCAAGTAGCAGGATCATAGTCGGGATCCGCTGGGTAGCAATCTGGGAACAGATATGATGCAACCTGAGGCCACAACATTCAAAACAAAATCTCAAGGCGACAAATTGAAAGCTCTCTCGGCCGTGATTGACAAGTCCGCTTCCTAGCCCGAAGTGTCCGAGATTGTCCAAGGGGCTGTTGCTCGCAAGTGTCGCGTTTCGTAGCGGCTCTCTTCGAAGTCTCTGCGCTCATCCTGATCGACTTCGCTGGAGATTCTTGAAGGTGTGAAACGTGAAACGGCGCCAATCGATCCTGAAGCATTTTGGTCTGCAGATCAAAGGAAACGTGACCTGCGGAAGAAGGACCGGCAGCGACCTAAGCACGGTCAAGCACAGGGGGTTCCTCTTTGTCGGCGGCCTGGGGTCACTGGGGTCGTCACTGCCCATGTCTCTGTCAGAGCCTGGGCGACCCTGCTCTTCCCGGAGCCGTTGGGGCCTACCAGAGCCCATCGTTCGCCACTTTGGACCGTCAGATCGAGGCCCTCGATCAAGGTAGCACCACCCACTTCCTGGAGAGGGCACGTACAATCACGCAGCCAGTATCAGCCGTGCGGATCGTGTTGCCGCCGCGCTTCGAAGTGTTGTCTGCGAAGGGTCGCCGATGGAGGGCCGCTGGCCCAGGCTCTGTTCTCGAGCCTCCACTTGACAGGGATCCGACGGAGGCACCTTGGCACAGCCGCTTGCAGCAACTCACGCCGGCCCAGATCTCAAGATGGTGCCTCCGTGTTGCGATCCATGGAGCCCGCCGAGCTAGCAAAGCTCCGGTGCAGGCCATGACAGTGGCAAGAAGATGGGTGCTTGCATGCACTGCTTTTTTTTGAGAAGTCTGAATTTCAGGGATGATGGCCGCATGACCTTGCTTTTAAGAAGCAAAAGGAATGCAAGCGTCTGTGCCCAGGGTGAACAAGGAAATGTTGAGAGGTGATTTTCGTCTGTGCCTTACAGCTGCGAATCATCAAACATCATCAAACTGTCAGGCTTCAAGCTTGGGCGGTCGCTGTCATCGAACTGTGGCTCGCACCGGGCGTCAACGAAGGTGCCATGCCACGGGGCGTCGGATCACGGCTGTGACCTCAGAGGCCATGTCCAACGTTCACGAAATGAGCAGACGGCCGACGGACGGACAGACGGAAAGACGGACAGACAGACAAACATTGAATTGACACTCTCTCAAAATCTACTCCAATGGGTGATGAGGCTGAGCACGGCTAGATACCTGAAAGCTCTCATCGTGCAGCCGCCGTGCAGATTCCTTGATAGAAGTCCCCTGACTCTCTAGACGAGCAGACTACGTGTCAGGCTGGATGTGGCCATGGGTTCAGCCGGAAGGCGCGGTCGAGAGGGAACCCCCTGTCGCCAGGGACTCAACCGGACCAAAAGGCGAGAGCAGCTGACCGGACTTGTTGTGCCAGCCTCGACGCTTGCATAGCCTCCTGCGAAGAGAAAGAAAGCACATCCACTCCCCAAAACTCCTCTGTGCGGGGCTCCAGCCGGCTCCTGTGCTGTAGATGTCGTTCAGGCATCCGTTCAGGCGGCCGACATCTGACCAGTCCTTTCTGCGAGCTTCCCAAGGAGGCCTGCAAGCTTGCAACGACAATGAAGCCGCTGCACTGAGTCTGCATGGCACACTTCGCTGCCTCTGAGCTGGGACACCCGATCGAGGGGTCACAGGCAAGCTCCTGCAAGTGGCGAGCCATTGTGCCAAGCCCTCAGTGCTGTACTGCAAAGCCATCTCTCAGTCTCCTTACAAACTCATCCTAAACCGTCATTGCCCTAGCTCCAATAACCCCCAAAGCTCTCTTGGTGGCTGCCCACCCTGCCTGGGCCTTCTGGAACACGGCGAGGGGGTACGGGAGGACCTGCAGAGGAGCTCAAGTCCCAAAGAGCTTGCGGTAGGCTGTCAAGGCTTTTTTGAATCTTCGCGGACGAGACAAAAAACAGTAACAAGAAGAAGAAGAAGAAGAATGACAACAATAATCATCATCATGGTATGACTAGCTCTCCTTTCTCCTGCTGAGTGTCTGTTGCTGCAGACGCTGCGAGCGCTGCCCTGATAAGCTGGGCCACCTGGCCTCCCGACAAGTCCGGCATAGGAGCTTCTTGGTGATGGCCTGCCAGCAAATCCCGGATCTTGCCGCTGCTCCCATACGAGTACCGGTCAATTACTGGTTCATCCTCCCGCATCGTGGCGCCCTAAGCATTCAGAAGTCCTCCATGGCCCTGCACCCGCATGGGCCCCATGGCGCCTCAGGGAATCTCGGGAGTCCCGCAGGTTGGTCTGCTCCAGCTTCAGGGTGTTATCCTGCGTCGCGTGAATCCCTGGCTCTTGGCGGCGCCCCCCAAGGATCTCATGATCTCACGCCAAACACAAAAGGCTCTGATTTTCCAGGCAGGGTTGGAGCTGGGTCGTGTGAGAACCTCCTGCGGCGTTTTCATCCGCTAGCGGGTCCCCCTCATCGGCCGCCGTGGGCGCAGAAGCCGGAGCCTCTGCGAACCAAGGCTCCCAGCACCGGGCCGTAGCTGCCTCGACCAAGGGCATTGTCGACTCTTTCGGCTTACGCCGAGCTGACCCTCACGTTGGCAGCGCACGCTACATGGTGGCCTTTTTGGCTGTACGGCTTGCATCTTGGATATGGCAAAAAAGAACATTGGTGAGTCAGGCGGACACAGGAAACAGTGTGAACACAAGACTCTGCAAAGGGTTGATGCACCTGGCAACTTCAGACACAGCTTCCTGCATCCGTCCAAAGTCAAGACGGGCTATGGTCCGAATTCTTGCAAGGCATGCTTGCACTGCGGTGCTCCAGAGTTAGAAGCTCGCAGCGCCTTCTCTGACCTAACGTTAGCATCCCCCGACTTTTCAGCCGCACACGCGCCAAATCTCTCAGACAGCATCCGCACGCCAACCACGCAGAGACGGAGCAGTTACGATATAGGGTACACTAATAGACTCCTGCCCGTTTGGAGCTCCTGTCCTTCAGTAGCACTCCAAGGGTGCCCAGTTCAGCTTGCGATCATGGCCCTGATGCAGCGCTTTGCCGTTGTGCTTCACGATTTTGGGACCTCCGACCTGATTTTCTGGGCGCATGCCCTCGATGAGCCGGTCCAAGGCCTTGCGGTGATCCTCGTTTCTTCGCATCTCAGTGACCTGTGCCAGTGCTTGTCGATGTTCGGAGTCCACCTCCATCCTCTCCATGAAGTTCATGGTGCTCCGCTTGCGCCGGGCCTCCCATCAGGAAAGAGCGCGGCTCTCCGCTCTCCCCATCTCCTCTCTCTTTCCCCGTGCCTCCAGGAGCTGCTTCTTCTCCCAGAGCGCCGAGAAGGTGCTGGCGCTGCCCGTCTTCGGCGCACTGGCCACCTCGGCGCCGCGCACCCCAATGAAGCGGCTGCACACCGCAGCACACTTACGGTATACAAGTCCCGCATGGAGTCCGCGCCCCGCGGCCGAAGGATCTTCTATGCTTCGATGTCTTACAGCTTCGATGCTTCGACTTCGACTCGAAGCACCACCTGCTGGTTTTCTTCACTGCCCACTGAGCTGGGAACATAGGCGCTGAGGTTGGCTTGCCGAACGGGATCCATGGCAGCCTGGACATCGAGACCACGAGGGGCCACCCGACACTCAGACTGTGCATGGGAAAGACCCTGTACGTCAGAAAACGATTCTGGTTTCCTCCTTGCAAGCAACTGGTGGTCAATTAGCGTAGCCGCGCCTGGTTCGACGAGAAATGTCAGAGGCAATGAAACAAGACAGCTGGAGCCAAATTTGCAACGGTTGTAAATCGGTGTAAAGGTGCAGCTACGAATGCGTTCCCGCACATTGGAAGACAAAGCTCCACCAGCCAAGCAATGCACATCTGGATGCCTGTTTCGCTTGAAGTATCGCTCCAGCTTGTTCCAACGTCTATCCGGCGGGCAAAGTTCGCCACATACCTGAGCAGCTGCACAGGACAGCGACACCTATGCTTTCCCTGTCTGTCTTTGCAGTTGCCTCCAAGATGCCAAGGCTCGTCGCTGAAGACCTGCAGACATGGCGAAGCTTCCATCGCCACGCGCGTGAGGTGCCTCCAATGATCAGCTGTGCAGGTTGCTAGGCAACAACATGTCGACGGCAAACTGCTGCCCATGAAACCCAACCGCGCAACTCCTCGCCTTCCCTGCTCGTCCCTGTAACGTGAATCGAGGCGTGGAACATCATGTACGGCGGCCACACGCAGCCCAGGAAAACGTCTCATCGCATCCTCACGACTCAGAAAAGCTCAGAAGAGTGAGCCGATCGACATGACAAAGCCCCTCATAGCCGCTCCTCTGCAAGACGGACGGCTACCCTGCCCTTGGGCCCATCCAAGAGCAAGGCCGTGGCATTGCCTGCGGCTGCCAAAGCCTCGACTCAGAGCTCAGAAACCTTCGGTACAGTCTCATGACCTGCACAAGAGCGGCCGAATCCAGCATGTTGAAGGTGTCGCCTTCCTTCCTGAGTTTGCACTGATGTTGCATGATGCCGCCAAACAAATCTGACGACACCGGCCCGAGGCTCAATGTGAGAACGCCTCCACACAGGCTCTGCAGCTCCGCAGCGACGGCAGGCGACACCGAGCGCTCCAGGGCCAGAACTCGCCTCGTCGAGTGACGGTACCCGAGGAAGGAAAGGTTCCAAGGATTATATTATATTGTATAATGAGGCACTGGAGCTGAGCCGCCTCCCGGGAACGGCGCGAGCCCACGCGCAGGCTGCCCTTGTGGAGCCGCCCTGGCTAACCCCGGATTCCACGATGACCTGCACTCCTCGAGCGGCAAGAGGCACCAACAAGCCAGCTTCCCACCGTTAGAGCCCCCCCCTTCCTTCAACCCTTGAATCAAACGTTAAAAGTCAGCAAGGGCCAGAGCGTCCTTCCAAGTCGGCCAGTGTGTGGAAGAGCAGGGCCTCTGATGGCAGGACGGAGCCCGGCAGCGTGGCCAGAACGCTGGGCTCAGGATCCCAATGAGCGGCTCCAAGCTGGCTCCACAGCTTTCTGAGAAATTCCTGCCCTACCTCAGCCGAAAGGTCATTTTTCATTTTGATTCAAAAAAAACAAAGCCTCACCGTACGAAATCTGGCCGCTGCATCATTTCATCAGAGGCTCCCAGGGGGGCAGTCCTTGTAGAACTTGCCCTTGTGGCTCCACTGCAAAGAGCCCCATTTCCACCAAGGAGAGTGACTCACAGACCGGCCAGAGGGTGGTCAGAAGGTTGCGACTGCGTGCCGTCCCAGCTGTCCTTCCTCGAGAGCAATCCCAAAGTAGAATTCAACACTGGTCACTTCCCTGCACCCTTTTTGATTTGCCACACAGGGTCTCCCGGAGCGCATGTGACGCTGCAGAGCCGCCTCCGCAACCTTCACGTAGCCACGCCGCCAGCGCGGCACCTTCCAGGCTCTCGGGTCTCCGAAGCTGAGGCCAGCGTGGGGTCGAATCAAACGAGGCACCTCACAGGCCGCAGCCCTGGCGGCAGCAACGGCCGCCATGTGAAGCCCATCAGCCAATCCTGAAAGACACCAAAACTGCCAAAAGCTACAGCGGCTACTTGTACGCATGGATGCATCCGTGATCATCCGCGCCTGAAACGGGGCGAGGCCGGAGTCGAGGACGGGGCTTCCCTGGAGCTTTTCGTGACCAACGAGGAGGTGCGTAGACGACGTCGCTTTCGGGGGGCGGCGGCCCCACCTGAGACACAGAAGGCCGTGCTGCAGCCTTCAGCGATCTCTGCGCTGCTTATGCTCCGCTATGCTCTGTGGCA